GTTACTCCTTGACTCCTTCTTACAGCTGTCTTTCAGCCACACCCCTGATCTTCTGGTAGGAAAGATCTACACCTAGCCTTCTCGGACAAGGGCGAAAAATCTCGGAGGGCCCGTGTGCAAGTTGCGCGCGTTAAAGATCCCTTGGTGGTCTAAAATCGATAAGAGTAGGCTTCGGCCGCCACCCGAGCAAAATTCAAAATTTCCTACCAACTGAAAATATTAGGTGTGTCCCGCGCGCTCATATGACCTATGCAGTTGCGAGCGCCGTAAAACACTTTACAAAAACAAAAAAACTAATTTTACCTCTGAAAACAGGTGACCCCCCCCCCCCCCCCCAAACCTCTTTCTTTCGCAAATATCTCGACTTGTATTCAAGATAAAAGGATTTTTTTTCATCCAGATAAACACAAATGAACAAACTTTAAGATTATACCAATAACTCTACATGCCCTAAAATTGACGAGAGCCTGATTCCACCACGCTGCCTCACACATAGGTTGGCCATCTTACTAGCAGGTCTCTCAACCAAGCCGCCCTAACAGCCTACACGTACTACAGTTGTACAACACAAGAATACCTGGAGACAAAACGAGAGTAAGACCAAGTAGAAAGAAAATTGAAGGCGTTTAAAACCCACAATATTCGGCTCTAGGAGGCTGTCCCCCTCACCCCCCCCCCCCCCCCCGGGCGGCGACGCCTATTAATGGTATAAATGGCAGGTGAACTAAAGTAAGTAAGTTGTAAGTTGTTGTTGTTGTTGGTAGTGGTGGTGTATGCTTCCGGGAAGACGAGAATGCTGTTGGGTGTTCTAAAGTCTGCTAGGGTTTTGATATTGATTGTAAAACACATAAAACGTGCTGTTGAGAGGGAATATGAGCTACACAGAGACTATTTATATAATAATTCATATTTTTTGTTGTCGATTTTCTAGGGACGTAGGGGCAGGAGAGCAAACCAAGGGTGTCATTTGCGATAAATTAGAGACTTGCGTGTGTTCAAGCTTCAATATCAAGAGCCCTGACGTATCTATGTATGTACATTCTATTAAAATGACATTAACAACATATTTTCAAATTCTCAGATGTATGTAAACGTATTTGCTTATTCACTTATATATTTTGACTAGAGAAATCGCCTGTTCACGCGACGTTCTGTAACCTTTTTTAGTGTTCATTAGCATTGATTATTGTACGTAGTCCTTCATTGCCTAAGATGAGGATGGGATCCTGCAGCTCATCTGTGGACGCGTATGTGACTGTGTAATCCCATCCTGGATGTACAAAGTCTGTTGCCGTGGGGACACCGGAATGTGGTGGTTGGGGTGGTTGTATTATGTCTCCTCTCACTCTGATAGTCAGCTTCTCCGAGTCGTTGATGTTGCTGTTTCTAGTGGCAAGATGGACGGCCTTGCGCCTGGCGTTCCTTTCGGTGGCAGTTCTTTCGAGGTTTTCGGGGTAACGTGTGCAATCTGGGGGTTTGCCTTTATCGTGTCTTTTAACATGCTTTTTTGGCCTCTCGAGATTACTTTTGCCATTTGCGAGTTCGTCGCACAGCAGTTGTTTTGGGCATTCGGCGGTCTTCCATGCGGATGACATGGCCGACCCATCTCAGTTGGACTTTGGCAAAGCCCGTTCCTTACAATATCATGTACACACAATTCCCACAAACAAATCGAACAGTAATATCATACGTGTGACGTAATTACCTCTAAGACCTTCTGATTTTGCGTGGCTGATGACTAAACGAAAAGAAAATGAAACGAAAGACACATCGCAGTCCCAGTGTCCTTATTTTATATTTGTGGTCTAAACAAATTGAGAGATAGTGAAAAGTACTGAATAACAGCTTTCCTTGATATTATGATTCTCAAACTGATAGATTACGAAAACAATGTTGTGTGGGCATAGAACTGCCATCCGGTCAGAACTACACTTGGTGGTAGGCAAACGATGAACTAAACCTGAATGTGTTTTCTTTGTTTTTACGTTTTACTATCTCACTGAGTCAAAGAACTTTCCTAGTAAAACTAAGGAAAATGAACCAACGACGTTCAGAATGTAGGCTAAGGTATAGGACTAATTGTCATTCTTTTAAAAAGTTATAGGATGTGTTGTCGGCTGTTACTCTTTGGTTTGGAGAACATTATTTTCCACCCAGCAGAGTCCACTTTGAAGGATTGTTAGTGAATGTCTAAGTACTGCCTCCGCTAGCTTTGTGACCAAAACCCTTTTTTTTCCTTGAGTAAAGTAGTTTCCATAAATGGCTTAGTATTTGACGTGGCTGTCTGTCACGAGCCTTTAACCCTGAAGACAAACGTACTTGATGCTAGTTCCAAAAAGGGAACTACAGCAAAACCACAGAGCTTTTGGAGCTTGCCTGTCCCTACCGGGTTCAAGGATAACCCATAAGGGTTGGGTCCCCGCCAGCAACTTCCGCTCCGCACAGCCTTTTCTATCTTTGTTCAACGTCTGTCAGTCTTCCTCTGTGGTCCCTTTCTTCTTACCATTTAATTTGTATCTCTCATACTCTCTCTCTCTCTCTCTCTCTCTCTCTCTCTCTCTCTCTCTCTCTCTCTCCTTTCTCTCTCTTTCCCCGCCCTCTCTCTCTCTCTCTCTCTAAGTCTCTCTCTCTCTAAGTCTCTCTATCTATCTATCTATCTATCTATCTATCTATTTCTCTCTCTCTCTTTCTCTCTCTCGCTCTCTCCTTTCTCTCTCTTCCCCCGCCCTCTCTCTCTCTTTCTCTCTAAGTCTCTCTATCTATCTATCTATCTATTTCTCTCTCTCACTCTCTCTCTTTCTCTCTCTTCTCCCTCCCCCTCTCTCTCTAAGTCTCTCTATCTATCTATCTATCTATCTATCTATCTATCTATCTATCTATTTCTCTCTCTCTCTCGCTCTCCCCCCCCCCCTCAATTTTTCTAGTAATTTCCTTTCCCTTTTCCCATTTAAAGGGGAGAGCAAGTGTTGGATGATTTCCCTCTCACACGAACTCATTCAGTACTATTAGTACAAAACCTCCTTCAGCCACGGGCGATATTGGAAGCTCTAGCAGAGATGTAGAGTAACAAGTAACAGAGGCTGGTTCTTGTTGTTGTTGTTGTTTTTTGTTGTTTTTTGTTGTTGTTCTTGTTTTTTGTTGTTGTTTTTTAATGTATTTTATTCTATTAATTTTTTGGGGGGGTGCTTTTTTTTTAAAAAATGTTTCTCCTTTCTTTCGTGTTTGGTTCCTTACTTTTGTGCCAGCGTGAAGATTGTCGTTTCAAAAACAAAGAATTGTGATGCAGCGTGGTGGAATCAGGCTCTCGTCAATTTTTGGGCATGTAGAGTTATTGGTATCATCTTTGTTCACTTGTCTTTATTTGGATGACAAAAATATCAATTTATCTTGAATACAAGTCGAGATATTTGCGAATGAAGGAGGTGGGGGTCATTTGTTTTCAGAGGTAAAATTAGTGAGAAAATGGCCGCCAAAGATTAGTTATTTCCTTAACTTAAGAGTCCATGGTAACTGATAATTTACATTGTTTGTGCCTTAAATTAATGTTTTTCAGAAAAATCCACACAGAAATGAGTTCTTTAATGGGTATGAAAAGTGTTGAGGCAAAAAACAATAATTTGATAAAAATTCACTAACCTGCGGAAAAATGCAAGTTTCTTCACTTTAATTATTTTGACGAGAGCCTGATTCCATCACGCTGTCTCACAAATGTATTTTATTCTTTTTTGGGGGGGGGAGAGGGGGGGTGCTTGTTGTTTTTTTTTCATGTTTCTCCCTTTTTCGTGTTTGGTTCCTTACTTTTGTGCCATTGTGAGGATTGTGGCTCAAAAAACAAAGAATTATATCCCAAGGTCAGTACAGATAGACTACCTTTAGAACAGACGTTCCACCTACATGATTAACACCTCTGTTAAGGACAGTAAACAAGTGGAAAGAAAACAAGCTTTGAATCGATCACTGTTCACTGGCGGGGGAAAGTAATGGTCTATTATCCTTATTTTGTTTTCAGTGCTCCTGGAATGCTCTAGATGGAGAAACTATGTTTCTCCTTTTTTATATTTTATCTATTTTTTTCTCTTTACTCAGTCTGGAGCTCGTGTTATATATTATATGTGAGGCAGCGTGGTGAAAACAGGCGCTCGTCAAAATAGTCAAAGTGAAAAAACTGGCATTTTTCCGCAGGTTTGTGAATTTTTAACGAATTTTTGTTTTTACCTCAACACCTTTCATGCCCATTAAAGAACTAATTTCGGTGTGGAATTTTCTGAAAATGTAAATTTTCAGTTACCATGGACTCTTATGCTAAGGAAATAACCAAACTTTGGCGGCCATTTTTTCACTAATTTTACATCTCAAAACAGGTGACCCCACCTCCTTCTTTCGCAAATACCTCGACTTGTATTCAGGATAAATAGATTTTTTATCAACCAAATAAAGACAAGTGAACAAGCTTTAAGATGATACCAACAACTCTACTTGCCCAAAAATTGACGAGAGCCTGATTCCACTACGCTGCCTCACAATTAGTGTCTTCGGGGACTAGAATAGACTCGAGCTTGATTGACTGAAGATGTATTACGCCCACCAACATTGTGTTCATTACTAAGGTGTCAAGAACTTCCTGCAATGCCGGTAGCCTAGTGGTTAGGCTACCGGACTCGTAATCGTGAGATTGCGAGTTCGGGGGTTCGAGCCCCAGCTCGGTCCGACGTTGTGTCCTTAGGAAAGACACTTTACACGAACTTCCCACTTGGCTCGGCCCTATCGGGGGTCCTGCCCCTTAAATAACCTAATAGTGTTGATAGGGGCGTTAAACCTATACCAGTTCTGCAATGCCTGTTAGGAGACTAGGCTGAGTCAGATAGAACATAGTAGTAGAGTACTCGATAAAGTGCTTCATTAGCTACCCACAATGGGAATCGATTGCTGTCTTTTGCGAGCAACGTCAAGAAAACATAATAATCATTGCAGCTCGTTCTCGTACAGTAGTCAGGACTTACCTTGGAATGTTGTAGAGAACACTCCAGAAGAATATGCAAACAGTCACGATCTGTAAACACAAAAAGGTATAATTGAGAAGTTGTTATATCGAGATTGTATGTGAGCATGTGTGTGTGTATGTGTGTGTGTGTGTGTGTGTGTGTGTGTGTGTGTGTGTGTGTGTGTGTGTGTGTGT